GGCGGGGGGGGGGGGGGGGCGGAAGAAAGAGACAAGTGAAGTCCTGCCCCTGGGGAGGAACAACACCAGGCACCAATACAGGCTGGGGCCAACAAGCTGGAAAGCAGCTTTGCAGAAAAGGCCCTGGGGGTCCTGGGGGACAAGCTGAACATGAGCCAGTCCTTGCAGCAAAGGCCAGCGGCATCCTGGGCTGTGTTAGGCAGAGCATCATCATCAGGTCAAGGGAGGAGATCCTTCTCCAGTGCCCAGCACTGGTGAGACACACCTGCAGCACTGTGTCCTGTGCAGGGCTCCCCAGAACAAGAGAGACACGGACATACCCAAGCAAGTCCAGCAAAGGGCCCCTGAGGTGATCAAGGGACTGGAGCATCTGTCACAGAAGGAGAGGCTGAGAGAGCTAGCGACATTTAGCCTCGAGCAGAGAAGGCTCAGGGGGGATCTTATCACTATGTATAAATACCTGATGGGAGGAATAAAGACAACAGAGCCAGATTCTTCTTAGTGGTACCCAGTGAAAGGGCAAGAAACAACAGGCACAAGCTGAAATACAAGGGATTCCAGTTAAAAAAAAAAAAAGGTGGAGGGTAAACCTGGCTGGACACAGCCCTGAGCAACCTGCTCTACTTGACCCTGCTCTGAGCAGGAAAGCTGGTCTAGGTCAGTGATCTCCAGACTGGAGTGTGCACAAGACAACCCACCTGGATGTGGGAAGAAAATATTTTTAGTACGATTAATAAATATTTTTTTTATTTCATCTTTATCTCGTCCTTTTTTAATTTCTGTTCTTGTGTGTGTTTAATAATACACATAATATATTAGTACAGTGGTACATGTATATAATTTATAAAGAAATAAACATATACATATCGGGAGTGTATGCTCAAAAACATTTTGCTGGTCCACAGTCAACAAAGTCTGGAGACCACTGGTCTAGATCATCTCCAACAGTTCTTTCTAACTTCAGTGAGTCTGTGATTCTCTCTCTTGATAACAACAACGGATGCCTGTACACAAAGTAAGTGAACGGATTCAGTGGAAAAAAGAAATTTCCTTCCTGCCAGCTGATGTCTGTTACTTTCTGAAATTTGTCCTTCACCTTGTTAAACCCAGTAACTCCCTAAACCTTATCTTCTTCTAAATTGATATTAATAATTGCAGTTTTTATTTCTTCTACACCTCTACTAAAAGTTACTTTATAATTTGGAGGGAGTTTCGTTGTGGTTTTTTGGTTTTAAGGCTCCTCAAGGCTTCTTTACCCTACTTTCCCAGAGGAATGATTACTGCAGCAGTCCACATTCCAGTTTTGCCACCTATGAAAAGACTACCAGGGTCAGCATACAGTTAGCTATGCCACTTCCTCCTCCTCAAATACTTATCTCCTCATAGCAGCCAAACCAGTCTAAAAGCTCCTTTAAATTTCTAGATGAAACTTTACTGAGGATCAGGATCCAGATTTTTTACAGTGATTATATACTAAGAACAAATTGAACCCTGTTCAACAAAAGCTTAATGATCTTACTTATGAACCTGACATTATAGGTATACATCCATGCTATTTTTCTGCCAAGTTACTACATAAAATACTCAGTTAAATTATCGTATACATATTCAAGGTATGTAAAGCAATACTCCGTCCATTTATAAATCCCAATTCAAAAAACTAATGTATTTTTATTGTTTACTTAAGCTTTGCAGTTGCATTAAAATATACTAATAAATAAACCATTTGGAGTACATTAATAAAATAAGCAAAACAGTAACTGAATTGAATGCTTTACGATTTTGCATGCAATCATAAGTAAACCAAATTCTTACAATACCACTATTTATACACTGAGTAATGGCAAACTACTATCAGCTCATTATCTCATTCAAGGTCTAAAATAATATGTAAAGTAGAACTAGAGAAAGTTCATACGCTCTATGATCATTTCAAAACCCTTCAGAAAATTTATTTTGCATACATCTATGTACATAAACAAGAAAGATGATTTTCATGTAATCCTTAATTTGAACACCATTCAGTTTCTGAAGGCTGGAAAAAGAACAAGACCCTTCTTGGATATTAGTGTTTGTTTATGCAGAGCACAGTGATATTCATAGACTAGAAATGTATTGAAACCCCTATTAAATTGACCATTTTTCTCAAAGAGAAAGTTAAAATAGAAGGTCTCATTCCAAACAGGAGCACTGAGGAAAAATGTTCATTGTATCTCTCATCTGGCAGACCAGTAGTACCACTCTGAGAAATCAGAGAGGATTTGGGCAGACTGCCCACTCAACTTAAGGCTCATCTGAAATCCACATATATCTGCTTAGCTATCCAACTAGGATTTTGTTGTTGGTTTTTTCATGCCCACATGATTTTAGTGCCTTTGTGCAACGTGCATCCCTCTCTACATGCTTCCCTTACCAGAAGGAGGCGGGTATCTCACAATACTTGAGGCTAGCAAATCTGTGTCCTCCCACACCTGGTCCGATGTCCACTATAGTTATGGGAAAGCAAAGTGAACTTTAATCTGTCAAAATGTACCACCTGAATTACATATGCTATAGATAATCTTGGGATCCAAACAGAAAAACGCAGCCACCAAGGATATGGGGTGACTATGCAAGCAGTTGAAAGGACTCTACAGCCTAAAATAACAAGTGTTTTTTTACACACGTTTAGAAAAATATGTACACCTACATGCATATACCTCTCTAAATTAACATTTTGTAGCTTTTATGCGTTACTCAAGTACATTATAAAAACATACTACAGTCTTAATTTAGTAAGTCAGGTATTTTCTTTACTTCCATAAAAACAACTAAGAAAAAAATCAACCATATAATATTGACTGCAATTAAGAGAATTCCAGCACTGCACAGTATCTGTCACACTTCACAATCAATAACTATTTCTCAGAATGGCTTGTACACTAGCAGAAATAGCCAGGATACAAATTTATGAGATAGTAAAGTGCTTTTTATTGTATGCACAGCATAGAATCATAAGAATCTTCTACACAGTCCTTGTAACAGAAACATGACCTTTGAAATGCCAAAGCTCCCTTCCCTAGCTAATGTTTATCACCAAAGAGCTGTCAGCTCCCAAGTTTTTGAAAGATTAACTCTGCTGAGTCATGTATCACAAACACTGCAAACCTACCCATGGAACGTTGTTACAGGAGAGCAGCAACTTGAAATCCAATTTGTTGAAAATACTAAAATTAGCTTCATATGCCAAAAGTTCCCCAAATCTTTATTTTAAATAACTTTCCATTTACTGGCACTACATGAAGGATTTAGATACACAGATGACCGATCACACAGGGAGAAAACCCTAAATGTCTGAAGCCAAACAAGCAAAAAGCAAGAAATCACAATTAGAAAGGTGAATGCCATTATTTTTACAGTTACTAGAAACACTAGTATTTGAAATATTCAGAAAGGAAAGAATATAATTTGGAGGTAATAAGAAAGGCTTCAAAAGAGGCAGGTTGCACGTCAAATCAGAATACTTTTACAAACACTTATTCATAGCAGTGTACATAAGACAAGCATCATGAACATAGAGTCACACAAATAAAGTCATTCAAACACATCCATAAATTTAAAGGGATTATGAATACAATCAAAGCAAATGGGTGTAATTATTTTTTCAAGACGATTCTCAATATTTTTTGTTTGGGTTTTTTTCACTTTTTACTGTGCTAGTGCAAGTCTAAGTAGTTACTCTGATATCAGGCAAGTGAAATGAAGCACTATGTTTGCATCATTACATTTTACTATCCAACTTTCAAAACCTTTAAAAGTACAGGTTACTATAATTTTCTGATCCACAGATAATACTATAATTAACATCTTCCTGATTATTCAGTGAGTTAGTTTAGAAAATTTGTCTTTGGTTCCACCATCTTTCAGCATAGTAATCATTCCCTTTTCCAGATACTATAGCTGACAAGTTTCTTTGGAGTCCTGTACCCAGCTACTTCACAGTGCACGTAAGGATGACAGAAGATTCATGTACTGACTAATTTTAACCTCCTCTAATAAGCATTAAGTGCAATGATATGAGGATATTAAGCAAACTATACATCTCTACAATACATGAAGGACCCGATAGATTTTAATGTTCCATTAGCAAAACCAAAATCATACAAATCTGGTGATAAAATTCAGAGTACACAGGAACTTCATACATAAAAATCAAATCCAATTTAAAAGCAAACACAGGTTTGTTCAAACAGCATTGTACAATTGCTTTAACACTTACAGAATTTAGATGAACAATATTTTCATTCACTAACAGTTTAGTATAAATATAAAGCAAGGCACCCCTTAAGCATTTTAAATAACAAATTAAACATTTACGTTTTTTACTGTGCAGTCAGGCTTAACATTTATGCAGCTTGAAAACCAAAGTACAGCCTCAAGGGAAGCCTCTCCACTGACAAATTAATACCTTAGAGAATAGAGCTGAATGGTGGCAATGAACTCATTTGTTCCCCCAATAATGAAGAATGACTCTTTCTTTACCACATCTGTGACTGTTGCTATGGTGACCCAGACTTACCTCATTGCTTCTCGAAGTGCTCCTCGCTCACTAAGAGTCGTGTGCTTGATGTCATCAAAATTATTTTCTAGTTTCTCACAGTTCTGCAACAAACAGACAAACCCATGTAAGGCTCTTAAACAGTATATTGTACATGTATTAACATTATTCAACATCATGCAAACAAAACTGATTTATATTACGTAACCTCAAATTATGCATTCTGATTTAATTACACAGGAGTCATTAAAAAGACAGTGAGAACTCAGAAACAAAGTAAACATGAATCTTATTATATGGTTGTCATGGAAATAATCTTACAAATGTTCCATATCAACATGTATAGAATTTTTACTTTTTTCTTCTTTGGAAAAAAAATTAATTTTTCCTTTATCAGTATGCAAGGCTACAAAGCTACTGTACACACACAGACAAGAATAGAAACCTAAACATGCATTTTAGAATTATAATAAAAGTTATAAATTCTGTCCCAATGAAACAGGCAGTGTTGTTGGAACAAACCAATCATATTTAATTCATATTTAATTTTTAAAACATAACAGAAACTGAAAAGATTAATTGCTTATAGACACCTCAACCACTTAAAGCTTTTTCCAGATTAGAGCTCACCATTATTTCTCAAAGTAATATGAAGCCAATAATTTTGTGACAATAAGCGAAACAAAACTTTGCTGTATTCTGTTAATTATTATTAAATGTGTGACTGGTTCCATTACTCCAGAGTGCTGATCCTTTTCTTCTGCTCCCATAAAGGCGGTAAAATTGACTCGGAAGATGCTAGGGAGTACAGAAATTTGTATCTGTGCAAAGTCAGTGTGAAATACCAGCAAACAAGAATTCCCTGATCATCTGCGTCATCCATAGGATTTTTATATTCTCCTGAGGCTTCATCAATACAGGAGGCTTTTAGGTTACCTCTGTTCTCTGCAGCACCTTTCTCCAATACCAAAACTTACCTCTGGGAGGCATAATTTTGCCATATGGGTGTAAAAGAAAGACGAGTTGCAAGCGTAACAGTTAGTATTGCTAACAACCTTGAAGGCAGGATTGTCAGGCTTTTTATGCAGTAGCTTTAAAGAAAATACGTGCACTATTATTTGGTCATATTGCTTTCACAGTTTTTAATATCTGAATTAATTTTCAAGTCCACATCTTAAAGATAGTTATAATAAATACAATAAAAGTTACCTATTGCTATTTCTTTTGTGCATTGATTCTTTATTTTTATAATTACATTCAATTTGAGGCTACAAAAGCATTACTGTAAAGGAAATAATTAGATATTTGTAAATGACCTAACAAGATACTTTAGCTTGTTCAATTAGCATTTAAACTATCATTATTTTTAAATAAGATTATAGACTTTTTAATACAAAGTTTTAATGCTTTAACAATACATTTATGAGCAGGAGAAATGAACAAAGCTACATTCAGAACTTCTGCAATCTTTTCTCTCCCTTAAAAAAATTCTACATGCCTTAAGTATGAGTAGTAAATCTTATCCCATAGCTAATCAGATATTATTTATTTGTTTATATTACAATCAGTTGTCCTTTGTATGGCAAAATCCTACTCAAAACCTCAAAGGGATTACACAAGAAAGACAAGGAAGCTCTACAATGAAGTATACCATTATTTAGATCAGCCTACATTGACCTTCAGCTCCAAGCACACACAGGCAGGTCAGTCATTTAAAATACATGAAGAAATCCAAATCAACAATAGTAATAAAGAATTCCTGATTCATCAGTACTAAACTGAAAGTATCTGTGCAAGCAAAAATCAAACTTCCTATCCTCCAAGAAAACAGACCAAAGGAAACACCATTTGGAATATTGCTCCAAGTGCCAAAAGAGGAAAGCCCATGCTTTAACAATCTTGTGCCACCAGCATCTGAGCACAGGTTCAGAACATCTGAGCATCACAGTTCACTTCTCTTGACCTTGTGGTATAAAGCACATAGAAACAACAGAGGATCCAAAGCACACAAAATTTTTATCAAACAGAATTAAATCTTCTCTATATCATACGAGCTAAAATAGCTGATGCTCTCCACATGGACAATGCTGAAAAGAGTAAGTTCAGCTGGTATTTCTTCTTTGTCTATATAGACCATACTGTGTTAATCAGCTGAAGGGCAACAAAGGTGGCCCATATCTAAAGAAAATGCTGTGATCACGTAGCCTTACGTGCACAAATATTCTATCTCAACTATAAACCCAATGCAAAAATGGATAACCCAGAACAAAAAATGGAACAAATTTTATAGACTCAAGTAATAGATGTACCAATTCATTTGGCAAGAAGATGAACTTATTTCTACCATTTCTGAGAACTGTTTCTGGACAGTATCTTTCTCAGCTACTTTCAGCCAAATAGCTCTCATCCAAGATACAGCAGTTGGAGAGCAAATAATTTCACCATTAGGAAAAAATGAACTAAAAACAGAGCCAGATGCAAACTCCTGAAGGAAGATGACCTCATAGTACTATGTAATCAGTTACTGCATACACATTGAACAGGAGAGTGAGCAAATATTGATCATACCCACTGCTTTCCAGTTAGAGCTGCAATCATCCAAAATAGTATGTTGCATCCTCTCAGAGAAAAGAGAACAGGTTGTCCGAAGTACCAAATATAAGCATAGCTACAGGTGTATAGATGCCACTTCTTCATGGGTCTGAGTATCAGCTTGCATGCTACATTTGTAGATCATCTGAAAGGTTATCAGTTCATAAGAAAGGCTACCAATATGAATGAAATTGTGAGCATGAGAATACTCTGAAGAATATGACTGGGAAATGATGAAACTTCAGTAGACCATGACCAGGGTGAGCTTTACATTCTTAAGTATTAATCAGTAACAAAAATTGAGCTCATTCTATCATTCATGCTACCAAATAAATTAATATCTATAAATATCTTGCTCAGGGCAGTATGTTTTGGCCCATAATACTTCACAGATTTAAGTATAATGAGCAATTAAACTCCCAGGTGTTTCATTTTGAGCAGCAGCTAAAGTAAAAAAAACCAAAACACAAGCAATGAAAAAAATTAGTTTTGGTGGCTTACTGCCAAGTGATTTTTTGTGGGTATAGATAAAGTCTGGAAGTTTTAACTCTATGATTCAATAATTACATAGCACTCTATATGTTATTGCTGTTGGCAGATCTATAGTGCTGCATGATACTAAACTAAGTATCACCTTTCAGAAGTTCAGGAGGAAAAATAAGTACAGAGATGCAATAGGGACATGGTCATCATAAGTCAAACTACTGTTGAATGTCAAAAAGCCACAAAAGCCTAAATACTGCTTCTTAAAGGATTCTGGCATAAATACTTTGAGGTTTTTAAATGAACTAAAAAGCAAGAGAGTAGGGAAGAGATTTTATATATAAATAAATGGCTTATTTATGACATAAGAACTACCTAAAACTACATGACAACTAGTTAAAAAGGAAGATATAGACTGGATATCCACAAATATCTGTGGCATCACACACAGTATACTAGTGGAACATCTAATCAGAAATGAGAAAGATGAATTATGAATGTATGAGATGAAGAAGAAAGAAGATTAATGAACAAATTGAAAAGCTTTTCCTGCCATAACCACAAAAATATAACTTTTATTCCTACTGCAATATTTTATTGTTAATAAAATAAACTGCAAGCTTTGGGAGCAAGGACTATGTGCTCGTAATTCTGTATTTTCAGTTATCATAAGCGATAATATTAAAAATATCATGACATAAACTTTATAATAATATTGTAACAGTCTGAGGAAATTCAGCAACTACCAAGTCCAAAGTACTCTTACTCTTTGACACTAGTTGAAGAAACAAGCTAGCTCATATAACTGGAGAATAAAGAATCACTCTAGTTTTAAACAAAAGCCTAGGATTCTGGCAAAAGTGAAGTTGTACGTTTTAAAACACATCTCTAAACATTCATCAGCTTAGCTTTCTTGTATATTTTTTTGTCTTGGATGGAAAAGCCCTCTTTGCCTGACTTAGTCATTTGAAAAGCAATTCTTGATTTGGCCTCTTGTGTCAAATGCAAAACTTTGCAGAAGTAGCTCAGAAGCCAAAAGCAGTCTATTGCCTGGTGTCACCACTGAGAATCTCCCTAAATTACAAAAGCATTGCTGCCTCTGCTCTGCCATGACAGGCCTAAGAGTTTTGAGAAGACCATAACTCAAACTCGCCCATTCTGCAATGCAGTACTGATAAAAGAAGTGACCCCCACTTCCATCAAAATCAACCTTAAATCTTCCATCCAGTCAAACAAGAATGGGATCATACTAAGCCATATACTGCTACTTTAACTCTATCCTGAAATACTTCATATAAGACTTTCAAAAGTGTTAGTATTACGGATAATGTCTTACACACATTTTGAGGTAGCTGAAAAACAAAATCTTTTGATATGACAACAGCGTAAGACCTATTCTAGGGCAGCCTGCATCACTGAAGTTGAGTAGATCTCTTAACCCTAGTCGATACACTGCCAAATCAAAAGCCTTGCTTATAATACCGTCTCTCTTCCATGAAATAAGGGTTTAGGTAAATAGGATTGCTGAATTCTTGAAATTCATTGCTTCCACATGGTTTTAGGAAATTTTCTTAGAAAGCTTGAGTTTTTTCAAAACATTTGTGAAAGTAAGTCTCACATTTTTACTGTCAAATGTTCTCTGTGTATTAAACATAAGGAACATACAGCAATTGAAAGATGGAACAGCTCTCACCTGTTCAGTTCGTATTTACTATTGCTGCTAATGCTAAAACAAATTCATTTTTCTCCTGTTTTCTACTTTATAATCCATGAAAAAGGTTCCTACAGAGTATGTTGTGTCTTAATTTTCTAATGTTTATGCAGCCAAATTTCAAAATGTGCATTAAATGTATTTGTACCTAGACTTCTGAGTGCTTAAAATGAGACAGCCTGGTCCAAATTCTGAAGGATGTAGTAGCTCCCTCTGGTATTTCAGGTAGTTACCTTTAAGGAGGTAGGCTCCAACGACAGATTGACAAAACTATTGGGGACCTACAGAATCTACTTAAGTAGCTATGTCCTGTACAGA